GGGGGGGCTGCAGACCCGCCAGCCCCCTTGCTGCCCGCAGCGGGGTGAGGGGTGCGAGCTGCTCGCGGGCGCTGTCGCCCCCCGTCTGGGTGCGGGCTGGGAACGAGGGGCTCCTCTGGCTGCTCCTGCAGAGCCCCGCACCGCCACCTCAGCCTTGCTGTGCGCCCAGCATTGTGTGCTTATACCATGTCTCGTGTGAGTAGGTTGCCGGCCAGGAATGTAAAGTATTGGGAAAACCTATTATCCATTTGCAGATGCCCTACCTAAAGTACTCTGAGTCTAATTTTTGGTAGTGCTGAGTGGCAGTAAATTCTAAGTCATACGGATTTTAATTGAATATGGCACCCGGGCCCTGGTTTTTTAAGATTCTGGGTAGGTCTGGAACCTGCCTGCCCATGGCCTCCAGGGCACAGCACCAGAGCACAGACTCACTGTGACTAAAATGTTACTTTCCAGGGTGCTGGTCATCCTTGTTCTTGGTAACTTTATGGGTAACTGAAAAGTAGCTTGGCAGCCGGACTGGGGTGTGTGCTGGGACTGGCTAGAAACAGACTTGGTCCTTACTGCCCCTGGCCTCCTGCCACTGCCAGCCTGATCCCTCCCATCACTTGAGCACAGGAGCCCCTGTGCATCCAAAGGCCATTCTCATTCCTCAGCACCTTACTTAACTGAGCATGGCTCCTCTGCTGTCTCAAGACCCATCACAGCTTTTGAAAAAATACTAAACTCTTTTAATATCTCTCTGAGGCACTGTTTGTGCAGTTGAAGCCAGATGGGGTTGTGGTCACTTGCACTGGCTTTACCTGACAGTCCCAGGTAACATACACCATTAGTCCATGAAAAGCTGGGAAAGAATAAGCATCCTTAGTCTGCTATGCTCAGTTCCTGCCTAATAACTGGAGCCAGCAACCTTCACTTATCCTTATCTCAGGAACAGGCCTACTGACTTCAGCAGAAGCGGGAATGGTCAAAGCATCAGTCCAGGATTTGAAAAATCAAAACCCAGTATAAGCAGATCATGATCTGTTCAGCCTGGTGAAGGGGTGGGGGTTAACTTGGCAACACAAATGGAATAAAAATCAGGAATAAGTTCTAAGCAATCACAGCACTTTCAGTAATATCTGTTTAAAATTATGCTGCTTCTGCTCTAATGAAAATCATTTTGCAGAGTGTACTTCCCTGCATAGAGAACACTTCATACCAGCATTTTAAGGTGTCTGGCCACAGCCTTGAATAACTTCACAAAGTTGAAACATAAAAATGTTACTTAACTAAGTGACACTAATACAAAGCTTAGGCTGTAAGAAGAGATTGCATGGGGCATGTCCGGTCTTCAGAAACTTGTGGGGTAAGCATGGTTTCTTCATGTCCTGTTTAAAAGCCAACATCCTGTTGCCTACAGTAAAGCTCCGTATATTTAACCCAATAAAAACACCTGACAAAAGCACACTCCTGTGCATGTTAGCATTCAGTCATATATTCTTGTGTGTATTTGTATATACATACAAATGTATTTGCATAAGTATGTGAGTTTGTATATGTGTGTGTGTTTATCTTAGGCTTTCTGAAAGAAGATTAATATTAGCTGTGCCTTTTATCTGGAGGAAGTGGTAAAATGTTGCAAACCAAATTTGCATTGCATTGAAGAGATCTCAAGTTCCTGCAGATTTGCCTAAGGAGCATTAAAAGGACTAGCATTATCCTACAGCTCAGTCAAGCTGCAGTATCTTACATTTAAGGCATATGTTTGAGGAGTGAAAGCTGAGCTATTTGATGTTATTAACTTTTTAAAAGGAGCTTTTAATTTTTTTAAACACATCAGCAATATTAGAAAAAATTGGGTGTTACCATTAATGCTCATTTCAGGAAACACCTCTTACTGAGCAGCAGTGTGCTCTTTTTCTTGCTCAGCAACAGCAAACCATCCTCTCCCTTCCTTTCTCTGGCCCTTGTCCCCTTGGACTGACTTCCACAATGCTCTCCCTCTACATATTTCTCAGATCTGCAAGGTGCTTTGAGATGACAAGGTAGAGGATGTGAGGTATAGTTTTCTGCAGTGGTTGTTCATCTTACCCTTTTTTTGATACATGAAGAGGGGAGGTCCCAGGAGGGTGGAGTATGGCAGTCACACAATATGGTCTTGTCTCTGATAAGTAATAAGAACATGTGGCAAAGTTCACTCTCTGCATCTGGAGTGTACTATGATGCTAAGGGCCAAGGACATTCAGTAACACAAGGCATCTCACTAGTAAGCTAATAAACAAGGTTAGATACAACCGTGCATACCTGCAAGGTGACTAAATATGATTCACTGGGATGTTACCAGTAACTGGCTAGTATTTTACTTGTGTCGGAAATGCGCCCATCCCGTGCTCCAGGCAAATGCTGAAAAGAGGATCACAGCAAAACACAGGCTAGCTCAGTCTTTGCAGAGCTAGAGCACAGCCTGATGTTACTCATTTGTCTGTCTGTTTCTATATGTAAAATAAATAACTTTTGTATGTAAATAAGTCTTCATGAGAAAGGCAGCACTATGGATTTAGAAGCCAACTTAGAATTGGTATTTAGGAATAGCTGCAACAGACCAAATAGACACTGGAAGTGAAGTATAAACCTGAAAAAGTACTCTTCTGATGCTTTTCTCCTCTTTTCTCTAAATATTACTTCTAAGGGATTCTTGGTTAAAACTTATCCTAGAACCTAATCCAGCTTGGATGCATTCAGACATCTGCCTCTTGATTTTAGTGCAGGCAGGATCAGCCCTTTAAGTGCAGGACCAGGAAGCTGGAAGTGCACCTTAGCAGCCTTTAAAAGTTGGGATTTGCTTTGGCCTTGGAGCAGCATGGTGTTTTCTGACAATCCTCTGCCACCGGTTTGTTACCATTGTTATCAGAACAAAGGCTCAGATGCTCTTCCAGTGTCACTGTTCATATTGCACCTTGTCCTGGTCTGATACTCTGAGCCACCAAGTCAGAAACCCTCTTCAGTCTTAGACTGATTTTTTCTAGTAGATGGGCCCTTTCTTCCCAAAGTGCTCATTTGCCTCCCCCTTCCTTCTTTCCATGCCTCCTCTGACTCATTCTGCTCTGTCGTGGCCT